GGTTGTTGCTGTAACAGATCTGTATTCCCATTTTTATGCTCAGCGACACAATTTTTTCTAATAAATCAAAAACCACAATCGTCTTAGTGTGTTATAAACAAACAAGCATGACGAAATAAATTGTTGGAATCATTAAGTGGTGTGTGGATTAATCCATTCCAGTAGTATTCCAAGAATGGGAAAAACCAAATCTTGAATGAAATTTGTGAATATCATCAATGGCTTGTGAGTTCTGTGGTATAAAAAAGTCAACAAAACTTAAATTTGATTTAGTTTATAGTCAGCGACCCATAGAGCCACCTGAATTTAACGCCGCAAAGTAAATGATACGCGGATTGAACCCGTTAGAAGTTATTTTTGAACACTGTTAAAAAATGGATTTTGTGACTTTTGCCAGGATGGCATTGGCGATCAATATTATCCGCATTGGATACGGTTCGGCACAAGAATATGGTAATCAAAATCGAATTTGTTTTGTGTGTGTGATTAAAATTTAAATCGTTTTATCCAGCAATTCGCACAATAATTGGATTTGAAATGCAACCTTAGTGTGTATAAGAGTGAATTTCTTAACCAATTGAATCAAAAAATCAAAACAAATATGCAAAACTTAACCCGCCTAACAAGTTTAACAACTTTGATTCAAAACAAAAAAAAACACATTCAGAGAGAGAGAGAGAGAGAGAGAGAGAGAGGAATTTTTTCAACCAGTTTTTTTAGCCGGTGATTAATGATTATGGGTTCAATATATTTGTTTGATGTTGAGATGATTTAAGAGAATTTTGAAGAATGGTCTAAGTTGTAAGAATTCAAGTTTAAGAATACGCCAAAACCAATGAATCAAAACGCAAAAACATTTTAAATGATTTTTTCAACATTCTTCAGAAGGCGAACCATGCAGATTAGATGACAACACCATAGGCATTTGTAAAAATATCACCAATTGCCAATCAATAAGAAAAGGCTTGATGACCGGCACATTCGGATACAATAACATCGTTGGCTGCTCATTTATTGTAAGTTTTTCGATTTATTGAGTGAAATTTCGCCAAATTGTTTTGCATATCAGTTGTGTTGATATTGTTTGTTATCAGGGTACAGTACAAATAGTTTGTTGTGCTGACGAAAGGCCATTACTAGCCGCAAATCGAACTCCGCTGGAGCAAAATAACAGCCTCATCTTTGGGTAAGTTGCCACAATTTTGGATGGGAAATTTAACGGTTTTCGTTGTATTATAACAAAAAGTCCATAGAAAGAAGAAAAAAAAAACGATCTGTTACGATATATCAACGGGAGCATACCCCATGAAAAAATCTACACCAAGTCTATAGCTATATTTTGCCATAAGCTTGGTCTAGACCGGCTCTACAGCCGAATTAAGGCCATTTTTTGGTGTGAAATGGCTTAAGACCTCATTTTTTCATTATTCTAGCGCGATTCACAGCTCGACATCGGATTTAATGGCAGAAAAATCAATGTCATCTAGTTCTGACACCAAACCAACGCACATTCCAGGCAAAAGAGCTGAATCCGGTAATTTCACTGAATTAATCACAAATCACACCGAACAACGCATTACAAAAATTGTCGGTTGTTGATGCACTGTGTTTGATACAATTTCAGCGTGTGAGTTATACTCTCGGTTTCGAATACCGGCAGCCTTAGAGATTCATCCATTAGGGAAAGGTTTAACCTATGGAGAATTTCCATGGATGGTAAATTTTGAGCATATTTTCGCTATAATCCAACAATTGAATGGATTCTTTTTTTCTCATAGGCTGCGATAGGCTATGCAGACCTCAACAGCGACATCATTTTTGACTGTACAGGAACTCTCATTTCGGATTGCTTTGTATTGAGTGCTGCACATTGTGCGCGACCAAGGCGACCACCGCAAATGGTTCGATTAGGAATAGTGAGTAAACATTTTACTCCAAGGCGATGGTTTATAATAAACCGTTTATTTACACTGTATCTTTCTACAACTATCATTCAGGTGACTCTTCTTACAAATGACGACGATGATTCCGATCCGGTTGATATCAACATTAAGGTAAAATTCCGGCCAATTTCTATGCATTTTCTTCATTCGTCCATTTTCAAAACAGGAAATCATTCGTCATCCAGAGTATAAGGCATCTACAAGGCAAAATGATATTGCACTCTTTCGACTAGCTAAAAGGGTTCAATTCACAGATATCGTTCGACCAGCATGCTTACGAACAGATTTATCTGATGTTAAGCCAGACATTAAACTTATTGTCACAGGATGGGGAAGCTTTCCTACCAGTATTACTGATGAAAGTAAGCCGAATCATTTCTTTAATTTAAGTTTTCTTTCATTTTCGTATTTTTACATCATCAATTTATCTTTGCTCTTCTTTTGAAAATAGCAAAAACGAAGCGGCCATCGGTTTTGCTAAAATCAATTGTAACAACAATGCCGCTACAGATGTGTAGAACAACGCTCTTGAACCATAATCGTCAAGTAAAGGAAGCGAGCCTACGGAATGATCTGAGTTTGCGCCAATACTGTGCATTCGATCCCAGAAATTATGTATGTCCAGGCGACTCCAGTCTACTCCAAGCTTTTCCCAACACATCAGACATTGCATCAATTGTTGGTGTGCTTTCGTTTGGTGGAAACTGTGGCACTCCACTACCAATGGTATTTACTAGGGTCGCTTCCTATATAAAATTTATTGAACCAATCGTTTGGCCGAACCTGTAATATTGTAGACTATTCTGGAATTAGAAAGAAATCAAAAATAGAGATAGAAATATTTAAAGAAAAAATCGTACATTTTGCTGTAGATACATAGGATAGAAGATGTCGAATATTGGAGAAAAAAAGGAAAGAAATAAAACCATTTCTATATTTGTTTTTTACATGTTTTATTATCGATTTTTCTAACAAATCCAATGAAATAAACTTTTATCATATAATATGGTACAACTATAGGTTCGTTGAGTGGAGAAAATTCAAAAATGAAATAATTTTGGTTGCAATAATAATCAATCGTAATGATTACCTTGAACAATTTTAGGTTTGGAGCAAAAAAATTTAAGTGACTTAGTTCAAGAGATTGTTTGAATATGGTTTGAAACGTTCAACATGCAATTCACTTGAACACTTCTGTAAGGACACCTGCCATTCATTGCCTAATCGTGCCTGTAATTCTTCGCTTAAATTATGAGTTAATTCAATGTAATTGTGAACAAATGTGATTTTTTACAATAACCTCAAACCGGACACTAAATGAATCACATCTTCAACTGAAACTGGAACATGAATAATTTTCACTTTCTTTAGTAATGGTAATGCTTTGATAAGATGTGGGATTATAATTAGGGACCATTTCTGACCAGGATAACCGATTCTGATCTTTTCTATTGTTGGATGCCTACCAATAAACTCACAGAAATCCATAGGTTGATTGTATTGCGTGAATGACTCAAGTCGATCGAATGTAAAAGGACATTTTGTTAGGCTCCGTACAAGATTAGCTCCATAAATATCGAATTTCTTTATACTTTTCGAATGAATGTTATTGCCGGTGAAATTGTCAAAGTAAGCAAAATCGTTTGCTAAATAGAGCTCTTCGAGGTTTTCCATTGGTTCAATTACACTTCGAAATAAACTATGAAGTGCATCTTTATCGAAGAAATATCCGATAAGATGTAGCGTTTTCAACTGTAGATTTAGTCGTAAACACGTTGAAATCGATTTTTCCCTGGATACTTTTCGACATCGAATTTGCAAGTGTTCCAAATGAGGAAAATGATCAGCAATAGATTCAATGTGACATCTCCTCTCTCTTTGTTCATAGATATAGATGAGCCGTCGCATACTTGGAAATATGTTTTTTAACCATCCGATTCTAGTTGAGTGATGGTTTACCAAATCAACTTCTTTGACATTTGCAAATGGCTTTTCGAATTGATCTAATATGTTCTCTTCAGTCTCAAACCAGTAAAAACTGATTTTGGTCAAAGATTCGGCACAATATTCATTTAGGTAAGTAAATACTAGTTCATCATTTCCACAACGCTTATGAGCCCATTTTATAATCAAATGGCCAAAACAACGCAAAAGTTGAAGAGTGAATCTGAAACCAAACACATCTAAATTATTTCCATCAATGGAAAACATTTTAGTGCGTACTTTCGTGAGAAGACAAATTCAGTTGCTCTGCGCAGGCGTTTGTTTGAATCAGCCACCCTTAATAGATCATCCAGCTCCAAATATTCGAAACACTCTTCGAGACAGATGAGATTCATGTCAGTAATCTTCATTTTGTCGACGGATCCTGTGGGGAAAATACGTATCGATTCAGTTATTTTAGAATAATTTGGAGAAATACACTGTGTGAACTAAACGAAACGTTTCAAGAAATTAAATTCTTTGATTCAAAGTTGATTCGAAGTTCGAACACAAACCTTTCTCTTTCGTGAACAGCCTGAACAACAATAACTTTTTCGTCAAATTCTCCTATCTTGCAAACCGTCTTAAAATTTGTTAAAATACCAGAAATAAATTCTGTAAAATATTTGCAGTGATTTATTTTCAGAAGGAACAAGTTATCACTTCGACAGTGAAAATACAACTGATTTCAATATTCAGTGCTCTGACCTCTGAATGATGTTTTTTTTATCATTCGCTATTTTTGACTAGATAACAATGTGAATTTTTGCAAGGTAATTAGAACGATGCTTTCGAGGCAGACACTGAAGAATAGCCAACGGTGCACGAGTCAATGCATTGGCACACATATGTATCTTACGGCTTTATGACAGATCTTTTTTGAATGCCATAAATGGAAAACGGTCTGAAAAACCAGAATAAAATGAAAAATTAAGCACTAAACCTCTTGTAAATTCCATCATTTTACCATTTCTGAGCTTAATTTAATCCGATTTTACCATCGGTATTTGGAGTTTTGCGTGTTTACGAACGGATTTAGCTGATGTCTAGATAGAAGTTGAACTAATTACAGTTGAGTTGCATTCTATTTAGACCGCACTGACCTAACTCATGATATTCTAAAGTTAGAAGATAGAAAGAGATCGAAAATGGGGATAGAAAAATCTGAAAAAAAGTCATCGTTCATTTTTTGCATTTTATTTAATCCTTTAAAATGAGCTCAAAATGTGAACTTGAATGAATATCACCATTGTTGGTCCAACAAAGTAATCTTTAGAAGAAATGAGGTTTAATTTGCTGGTCTTTTAAATGCCAATACTGATCCAAAAAGAAGAAAAAAAAACGATTTTTCAATAGATAATTCATTCGCATCAATCAAATGCTATGAAAATAGTGATGTAGGTACATTACCAAAGAGATACCAAAGAGCAAGGTTGAAATATTTCGAAATAATACGGATTTTGGTGAATCCCAGAGAATGTGAGAGAAAAGAGAGAAATATTGAAATTTTAGATGAATTTTAAGTTGCGTGAAACCCCTAGTATAGAAGCAGCCCAGATGAATGACTCATTTCTCATCAATAATAAATGTATCAAACTCAATAGATCCATTGCAATCGATGATTCATTCGGTCGTTTAAATAGAAACTTATATTTGAATCTCACTCAGGCCACGACAGACGGCTGATAGTCGTGTAACGCGCTTGATACTACCGTAAACCATGCATAGAGATAACGATAGCGAACCTGATTTTCATTGCAATAAATAGCTGCGTAAGCAAATTCAGAATCAGTCTATGAATTTACGCAATCAGCGTCAAACCACAGTCTGTAGAATTACGCGATGAAAATCATTTGTGCATTGTTGACTTTCAGCATAATTTGCCTAGTGAAAGTTTCCGCTGATGGGCAAAACGAAGGCCATGCCATTCAAATTATGGCTTTCAAGAATCGTTCGCTCCAAATCCAATTGAATGAGATTCAACCAATTCTAGAAGCTGAAGATATCAAAGATCGACACCTCGTTGTTGTGTCCATTGCCGGTCCTGCTCGACAGGGAAAAAGTTTTCTTATGAACTTTTTCATTCGATTTCTCAATGCCCAGGTAATCAACGGAAAAATTTGATTTTTTTGTCAATGAATCGAATTTTTCACTCAAACTGAATTCATTGTTGACTTTATTCAACTTTTTGTACAGTATAAAAAGCACAATGTGACCGATTGGCTCGGAAAGACCACAAATAGTAGTAAATTGTCGGGATTTGCGTGGAGAAAAGGTCGAAGGCCAGAAACAACGGGCATATGGATGTGGTCCAAAATTTTTACACATGATTTCCCAAGTGGTGATCGAGTTGCGATCATACTGCTCGATACACAAGGCATGTTTGATGATCGAAGCCGATTACACGTTTATACGGTGACTTTTGCTTTGAGCATGATGCTGTCGTCAGTTCAATGCTACAATCTAAGGATGAACAATTCATGGGACATTCGTGATAAAGACCTACAACATTTGGAACTGTTCACTGAATATGGACGATTGGCCTTCGAGCAGACGAATGAAAAACACTTTCAAAAAGTGTTGTTCATAGTGCGAGACTGGGAAAAACCACAAGAAACGCCGTACGGAGATGCACAGAAAATAGTCAATGAAACTCTCACTTGTAAATGTGAAGATACGATCGAAATGAATAGATTGAAAAAACGTATAGCGATGAGTTTTGATGCAATTAGCGCATTTTTGATGCCATATCCCGGATTGAATGCAGATCTTGACCACAATTTTACCGGGGAATTGCAACACATTGCACCTGAGTTCATTGAGTATTTGAAGCAATTGGTGCGAATGATCTTTTCTCCGGAAAATCTTATCGTAAAAAGAATCAATGGACAGAAAGTTCGAGCCCGTGATTTGATACACTTTTTACAAGCTTATGCAAATATGTTTGAAGAACGTGATTTGCCACAGCCAATGACGGTTTTGATGGTATGTTGAGTTGTTGTTTTTTTTCTGGAGAAAGAAGTTCATTTTTATCATTTTTTGAAGAGCAACGTTTATCATTTGTTAATTAAAAATTATTCGTTTGTTTCCAATGAAACAGGCAACGGCCGAAGCAAGTCATTCAATAGTCTCCAACGATTGTTTGCGGTTTTACAGTGAATCAATGAACAAATCAATCGCAGGAAATGAAGTATATTTTACGGAAACTGAACTCAATAATCTGCATTCAAACGTGAAAAATGAGTCTATGGCGAAGGTTTGGAATTCAAACTTTACATATTTAATCTAGACATTTTCAACTGAAAAACATTGAATCAAAGTACAGATTTGATCCGTTTCAAATTCATCACATATCCATTTTAAATAGTTTCACAGAATACCAAGGCTTGGTGGTGACGAGCTCAGAGCTTCTTTTCAGCAGAAAATCGAAAGTTACACTGAACAACGGTTCGCTGAGTTTTACAAGCAAAACGAGAGAAAGCGAGTGGATTATATCGTAAGACTTCTTCATTTCTTCTACAGAATAGATTTCATGTCAATGATTTCATGCGGAAAATTGCTGTGAAAAATAATTTTATTTTTGTTGTATTGCTCCAGATAAATGCCAATTTGCTCAATGAAAGACTAAGCGAAGAAATAAATGGATCAGTCCAAAGAAAAATGATGGAAGAAATACAAAACTCCAGTTCTGAATTGAACCATTCTTACTTGAATGTTATGTTTCAGTCAGCAAAAGAGAGTGCTTTACAAGAGGTACATGGCCAAGTGATGAACAAAATCACTTTTGGGTCCACTATTTTTTTTTAAAATTTTTAATCGTAAAGTTTGAGTTCGCAGTTTGATCAAATCATTATTTCTCAGTTTGATTCTCGGAAGATGGGTGACTCTGACTTCGCAAAGAACTCTCGTGAGCGACTTAAATATGACTTGAACGATTTGCAACATGCGCTGAGCTACGTGCTGAATTTATATGACCATTGTTTGCAACAGTACAGCAACTCAATGTGGCATTCTCTCAATGAAATCGAGTATTTTGACGAGGATGGTTTCAGGATACTGTATCAAAACTCGAAGAATGAATCCATTCAACGGGTTTGTTTTACAATTGTCTATCTTTAGCACTACTCTTCTGGGGCTAAACCAACGGATAGACACGGTTTCTCATTATCATCGTACAAGTTTTACGCATTTGCCTCATTACATAGCGAGTAGCATTGTGTGCACTAAACATCCATGCATTTTAAATTTCAATACGATAAACTCATAACACTTAGTCTGGAAGAATTTGACAGTTCTCCGTAGAATATGTGCCGTGCTGCTGTGCGCACTGCGCATATTATAGTGAACAAAGTCAAGAGTAAGTGATATCGCTGAGTGTTTGTTGAGTTTGTGTCTAACCCTTAGTTGCCTATCCAATATTTCTCATGGTCGTCACCAATTTTCAATCCAATATTTCAATACACCGGTGTTTTAAATCGAAAATATTTTATTCAGTTCCAGTCACAATCCGGTGACAATGTGCTAAAAACCGTAGTTCAACATAAGGTAGACGCAAACATTGAACAAAAACTAGCCAAATTCCAACAGAAAAATGAAGAGAAACGTCAACATTTTCTGGTGAGTACACAATCCAAAAAATTATAGAAAATTTCCCTTTGGTCGATGCGATTTCAATTTTTTTGTGACCAAAACTCCGTCGCATTCACTAGTCATTCAAGTCTGTAGTGAATAGTGCACACTACATCATCATACAAGTTTTGATTGAACGCTGAGCACTCTGTACTGTCATTCGTTTGAACCAGAAAAACGATACAAAATTTTCATTCCAGCAACGAGCTAATTCACATAGTCAAACCGTAAGTACGGAAATTATTGTATCATTTACGAATAAAATGCAGCTGGAGCTTGATAATTCACACATGGATGGCAATCAATTCATCGATTTGTTCTTGAACTCAAAGCAAGAGGCTCTGGACGAGGTGGGTTTGAATAGATTTTCGTGAGATTTAAAAATAACTCTTGTTTCAATTGTTCAATCCAATTTGTTTCAAATTGCTCTAACAAATCATTTGTTATTCTAGTTTGCATCAAGGAAAATGGGCAAGGATCAACTCTCTATTCAGTCGTATCAACACTTCCGCAGAATACTTGAGATAGAATTGGATAGTGTCATGTTGAAGCAAATGAACGAGTTGAATAAGTTGCCAGAGGAAAAAACGAATGAAAAATTCAAAAAACTAAAGCAATTTCTGAAACATCTGGCGAAGACGAGGGATGAATGCAAAAAAGTACTGAAATTTGCCAAGAAATTTTTTTAGAGAATAGATTTCATGGCATTCAAATCGAATTCACAAGCCAAACGTCATTTATTTATTCAATTGCATTGCTAGTACCGTGGTATTAACATGAGTATCAATATAATTCGTTTCCAATTAAAAACTTGACGTTTTTCTCCTTCTCATCGGTCATTCAAGCTAAGTTCATTATGGATTTGAAAAAAAAAATCTTCAAATTCGAACACCGAGTTCGAAAATGAACACCAAATGCCCACGATTGGGCGTGGATTTAATCAGCATATTTCCATTGTACGATAAATTGTTGGAGATCAGCACCGAAAAATTAAATTTCTTTCGCAAAATTTCATCCGGATTTTTTCGGCCGAAAAAAAGTTCAATAGGAAGAAATTTCTTCTTAAATAATCCGAAATTTATTCGCGCATCAAATTGGTTCATGCTTTGCTGATTATTTACACGAGATGGTGGTAGCGACGCAATAAAATGTCAAACCCCGAACAGCGAGCATCAACGAAAAAAAGTTGCAGCGTGTCTATCACAGCGAACAAGAGCTTGTGTGAGTGATGAAATTGATCCGTGTGATGCATAAGGAGTAAGCGAGACAACTAGACCACACACGACGCCAACCATCGTCTATCATTGCTCTCGTTCCGTGTATCAATGTGCAGCATCAAAAGCATTGTTCACTCGTGTTCAACATGATTAGCGCGCCAAACACATCGTATTGTGTTCATTTGTTTCCGAGCTGTCATTGATTTCGCACGCAAAATACCACAACGTGATTGGAATCCGTGTTTCGAATGGTTTTTTCGGGAAAATTTCATTTTTCATACGAATAATCGAATGATTCGCGTTCATTAAGTGTTTTCAAAGCGTTTACATTGTGATCAGATACTGATTTGGCAGAAAAAAAGAGAAAATTGTGCAAATTGTGCGACACCGGCGTTGACACTTAACCTAACATTTCATTGGCATACATTTTGTGTGCACAAGCACGAAAGCCATACAATTGGCCAAAGACAGTCGTCGACGAGAAAAAAATCATTTTTGCCAATTGAATTGACACTGATTTCGTTGCAAAGTCGTGTAATTTGATCCGCGACAAAATGCCGCCAAGCCAAACCGATGTGGTGAAAACATTACGCAGTTTGCTCAATTCCACACAAAATGGGCTGCTGGAAAAACAGCTGTGGCGCGATTTCAAGGAGATGGAAGGCTATCCCGTTCCTTTCCGAGATTTTGGCTTTCGTACCTTCATTGACTTTTTGAAGTCAACCAATGAATTCGAACTGATGAACACACAAGACGGTTTCCACATTCGTGCCAGACTCGCGGCCGATTCCATACACATCACTGCATTGGTTAGTTCACAGAATCGCGCCAAAAGAAAGAAGAGCGCCAAACCGGCGCCATTCATACCGCGACGCAACATCCAGCTGGACAACAACAATTGGAATCATACGGCTTATTCGAAGGTAAGTTGAATTGACGCCTTATTTTCATGAAGAATATATCGGAATGAGTGAGATGTTGGCATTAAAGACAGAGGAAACAGTGATATTGTGTAGCGAGAGGTGTCAATTACGCATTTTTTGTGGAACATACGGCATGTTTTGGCATAAGAACACCTTTTTCTCAGAAGCTACTATTCATTTTTTGTGGAAAGAAGTGATTTTTCCATAAGTAAAAGTGATTTTTTGCCACAAAATAGTTTTTTTTAGCCGGTAAAATTGAATGTTTTGCAAATAAATTAAATTTTCGGTGGAAAATAATTAAATTTTCGCGAGGAAACAGTTTTGAAACAAGTGGAAAAATTCGATGTTTTCTCGTGATAGTTTGATAAATTGTAGTGAATTTTGGGCCAATTGAACAACTTTTTGCATCAAACCATCCAAATTTTAATCTGTTTTTAAATGAAAATTGGAGGCAAAATTTTCTGGAAATCGTATCGAAGTGCACGCAAAACGTTGAATCTCAACAACTTTTTTGTAAAAAATAAGGTCCCAGTTTAAGTTTGCTTTTTAATTTTTCACGATTTCTTGAGTTACCTATCGAAATTTGGTCCAAAAAATCGAATTGTTCTGATAGTTCATGTATGAATCCTTGAATGAAAGATCCAAAAACCTAAACTCAGTTGCTTTTTTTCACTCAGGCTCAATCGCAACCGCAAACTCGATCACAATCGCAGTATCAGCCACGTGTTCAGCCACAATCGCGAGCTCCGCCACGGTCACAGCAGCAGTCACAGCCGCAGAAACGGCTTGAAGTCCCACCACAAGTTCAATTCCCATCCCAAGTACGGAATCTATCGCAACAACAACAACAACAACAACAACAACAACAACAGGTAAATCATTTCATTGGTTCACCTAAAATTTTCCGTAAAAATAAAATTCTGAAAAGTCAATTTTCCGAAAAATCGATTTTTCAAGGAAAATAAAACTTATTTTGATTTTTATGACTGTTTATGCTTTTTTCCCCTTTTCAAATACAAATAGTCATTCAAAAATAAAAATAAAATTAATTTTCCCTAAAAAATCGAGTTTTCGGAAAATTGACTTTTCGGAATTCTTTTTTGGAAAATTTTTTAGGTGAACCATTTCCTTCAACAAGTGGCCGGGGCTGTTATTGCCAAAAGTATATCACTACTGACATTGCTACGAACCCAAGAGACTATCAATAATGTAAATCGTGCTCTCTATCAACTTCAGACCGCTCAGCGCCAACCAATGGCAAATATAACATCAGCGAATAACATCCGGAGTCGTGTTCCACCGGCGACGCTGACTGAAGTGATCGATTTGACTAAGCCGGACGTTGCGACAGTTCCAACAGTTCCAACTGTTCCAACAGTTCCAACAGTTCCAACACAAGCCAAACTGGTTTTACCCGATGGTGTGTGGAAACATGATCTTTGGGATCAAACGCCGCCGGTAAAAAGTACCAACATTCAGCCAAAAAAACCGATCACATCAGAGGACAAACGTCCAGGTCTAGTTCCTGTGTCTATGCCAAAACCAGTGCCTTTGGTACCAAAAATCAATCTATCGAATCCGAATATTCGACGAATTTTGAGCCAACAGAACTCGAATGTGCCACCAAAAGTTGAGCCGAAGCAAAATACAGTGTCGCAACTTTGGCTTAGCGACAGTGTTGATTCACAGCGAGAATCGGTGTTCAAACGATTGGGCAGTAAAGTAGACGAATCAGCCACAAAATCTAAGCCAAATATTAATGCACGACTGATTGTGAAACCGACACCCGAGCCAGTAGCACAAGCACCTGTGGCCAAACAGACAGACACTGTTGATTTTGTGACGATGAAATCACAACCCGTTCAACAAGCCAATGACATTGATGCCATCGCGGAAAAGGTATGTATTTCGGGTACATTTTTTTTCTTCAATTTTTTCTAATCTCAATGAGAAGAAGCCAATTGAAGCCATACTTTAGAGGCAATCAGTGGATAAATCCATTTTCAAACACAAAATAACTATGAATTTCAATTCAAAGCAGATCTCCAAAAGCTATCTGGATGGCTTGGATAAGAAAAATCCGAAAGTAGCGCTTAATTTGGCCTGCAAACAAAGAGGTTACGACCCACCGAAATACGATACAGTTCAGTCACAATTCAAGAAGTTCGAAGGATTGGTCACAGTCGATGGCATTACATTTTCAACGCTTCCGTTCGATTATGCGAAAGAGTCCGATGCTGAAGACGCTGCCGCCAGTGTAGCCTTGTCCAACATCAAAGACCGTCCCGAATCGCAAGAGTCAGACGAAGAAATTGCACAGAAGATTTTCGATTGTATCGCAGACAATGGCATTTTCTTGAAGTATTTGCCGAACATTTTTGAGTGAGTAGACAAGTGTTTTGCATGCAATTCTTGTTCGAATTTGGAATTTGGTAGAATTTGAAAGTTGCTTTTTTGGCAATTGCCTGGATAGTTTTTTTCTTGGGTGTGGAAAGAATTTCAAACAAAATAAAACATATCCAATGGTCTTTTCAAACAGTTTCATGATTTGTGCCACAAACAAAGCCATTTGGATTAATTTTCAATTGATTTTCTCTTAGGCAAAAGTACGACACATCGCTGCCCACAGGCTGGCAATTTATCATCCAAAATCGACCGCAAATGTTCTCGATTGGCAGCCAACATCCATATGAAATCATTTTCAAACAGTCGCCGAATTCAAAGGCTCAACCAGTCATAGAGCCCGTCGTGGGACCACGATCCATGATCAGCAACGAGGATCCACTTCCACAACAGAGTGAATGGCCTGAGATGGGCAAAATTAAATTGCCGTGGCATGATGCAACATGGAAAATCGATGTGACTTGGGTGGCATCAACCGTTTGTGTTTGGGGTCAGTTGTCTGATTCCGAATATTTGGTAAGTTCCCATTGAGAATGGAGAAAATTTGGGATTTGAAGGTGTATTTTAAAACCCTGAATGTTAGTTTAGTTAATTTAATTTCTTTTTAAATATTTCGTTTTCATTTGTGGAAAAAAATTGGATGTAAATCTTCGAGACAAAATTTGAGGTGTGAATCTTTGAGTTGAACAAACTGGAAATTTCATTTTTTTTGCTGTAAATTTCGATCAAAACTGTTGGACTTTCTTTTTTTGTTCAAAAATTTCAAGAGTTGTTCATTTGATTTGGTTGCAACTTGAACATTTACATACGAAAAGTTCTCAATTTTCAAAATTGTATCAACAGTGATGCACATTTTACACATTGTTTGAGTAAACGGGATGAAAATTGTAAAAAATTCCACAAAATTCCATTCAATGTTCATGTAAAACCCCATGACTTGTATTACGAACACGTTGTTTTCTCCCTTTTCCTCTCTCAGGACGACTTGAACCGCGATTTTGAGAAGATTGAACAAAAGTTGTCGCGTGGAATCCATCCAGAAATAAGTGAAACCGTAATTGTTGGTGGCATTTATTTGACGGCTCATGAAACGGCAGAGGACTCGAACCATCCCACAGTTACGGTATATCGAATCCAAGTGAAAAAAGTTGACAATGTAAAGAAGTCGGCCTTGTGTTTCTACATCGATGATGGGTTCGAAGAATGGCTGTCATTGTTGGATTCATCTGATTTGAAATTCTATCAAATTCCCCGTGAACTGATGCAAATCCCACCACAGGCCATTCAATTCAGTTTATTTAATCTCGAAGATTTCGCTGAAAATTCCGTGGCACAAGAAGAAGTGGTCAGATGCTTGAGTGATAAGCAATTTTTGGCCAAAATAAAGTCAACAAAAGAGCAGTACGAGGCACAGCTGGAAGCAAATTCGATCGCTAAAGTCAATGTGATGCTGTTTGATGTGTCGAAGGAAGAAGATGTCAATATGAACAAGGAAATTTTGGGAAACATTTGCGCAAAACTGCGACCACCACAACTGGAGCAGAATCAATCGACTGTGGTTCATGTGACACATGTCGCCGACATTGGAAATATTTACTGTCGACTCCACAACAGCAAAGAAATGCATCACATTAAGCAATTGATCCATCGACTGACACACAATGGCATCAACGAAGCATTCCGTGTGGATACCAACGAATTGCATGATGGCACATCAAAAGCACTACGACTGATCTTTGATATCACCGACAAGCGATGGTATCGTGCCATAATTTTGCCATCTCAAATGCCACGAAAGAATTCGGTACATTGCCAATTGGTGGACTATGGCCACATCAAATATGTCGAATATGAACATATCTACAAATTGGAACGGCTTAGTACAGCACTCAGCAAATATCCACCACAATCGATTGTTGTGCAACTGAATGGATTCCATTCGAAAGAATACACACCACAGGTTGTTGACCGACTGCGAGAATTGCTGTGCTGCCAGAAAACCGTTTTAATTAAATCCGTTGATCGATCCGAAGTTCCAGCGGTTGATGTTTGGAAACATGTTGGCAACCTGTTTTGCAAAATCAACGATTCCATTCGCATAGAAAAGTTAGTTTTGATTGAGAATGTTATGAAACAAAATCCAAGGAGAAAAAAAGTAAAATTTAAAATGTTTCGTTACAGTTCACCCGAAATGGCTGTGTTAACCGATTGCGATGACTCACTTAGCTCCGACGAAAAAGAGGAAAAGATTGAAGCCGATTTGCCGTTGCATCCGAAGCCAAACTGCAACCAAATTTACAAAGTTGAAGTCATCACTGCGCTCAATCCGTCATACTTTTTTGTAAGCCACTCAAAATGCCGGACATATTTTTTTGGATTGTTTTACTAGTTTTGGGGAAATTTTAAAATTGCATTTAATTATACGCCATAATTCAGATCAGATTTTTTTTCACATAAATTGAAACCATTGTAAAAATTTGGCACAAAGGATTTTTACATTTTTAGTTTAAGAAATGGTTTCTGTTTTTTCATTTGTAATTTTTTTTTTTCAAAAGCTTTTTCTATTCAATTTTCCAATTCCATTATTTGGATTTACACATTAGCTTCAATAGTTGGCATATTTGACCTACTAACATAGAATTTTTGTCATTCATTAGGTTCGTCTGGCGGTGGATAAGCCAGAATACGAAAAGATGATGCATTCACTATGGAAAGAGTGTGAAAAATCGGACAAAATTCTGTCGAAATGCGACATCAAGCTAAACCACTTCTATGCTGGTCGATTAGGAGATGGTTATTGGCACCGGTGAGTCAGATCAAATCTCTAGAATTAACATTTTCTACGAGGGGTTTATTTGTCGTCGTGAGTGTCAAAGAAGGCTCACATAGTTCGTATGAAGGCTCGAAGAAACTCATGGAAATTTTAACACGAGTCGCTGTGAATCGTAGCACAGAAATTGGTTGGTATTTTCCAACTTGGCAAATCTACGAGTACACACGGTACTTGTAGCTGACACAAGCTAGTGATATGTCAGAATTGCATGCATTCTATTTTACATACTCTGGCTCAGTGGTTCACGAATTCATATGGAAGATTCGTCAAACACTCGCCAGTCTTCACACTGCAAAGTCTTGCAAGAGTCGTGTGGCTGCAAACATTTTTTCTATTCACGTGACACATAGGCTCTGTGAATGGCCCAGACTTCCTATTTACCCAAAAATTCTCGATTTTTCATTTAAAAAAAATTCCATATAATTTTGGTTTTTCCTAGCATTTTCGATTTTTGGCTTAATTTTTTTTAAAATGAAAATATTTTTTTTGCTGTGTTAGCCATGAAAATTCAATCTATCTGTTTATCTCGATGTTTCAGTGTCAAAATACAAGGCATTTCAAACGAGTTGGTTGTGGTTCAAATGTGGGACTCCGGCAATATCGCTCAGATCAGCATCGATGTACTACGAGCATTGCCACCGGCTTATCATGAAAATCAACAAATGGTCTTCCCGGCACGATTGTATGGTAATTTAATTTTGATTTTTTTTTTCTTCTAAAGAATTAATATTTTCAATGGGTCAAGTAAGATACAAATGATTTTTTTGTTTGCACTATTGTTCAATTTCATTCTGAACGTTTTAAATGACTTTTTTCAGTACGGGAAAATTCGGCATGTTGGCATTGCAATAACTTATTGCCAATAAGTTGCAAATTGTCAATTTGCAATTGCAGTTCTTCGAAGTTCCTTTAGAGTACCTCTTCAAAGAACTTTTTTCCCATTTCATATAACAAACCAAACAAAATTACACAAATCAAACTGAATAAAATTCCCTCACAAAATAGATCGTTTAATTGAATTTTTCTTCTTTTTTGGCAGATATTCAACCACTTCAGAAAGTGTGGAACAAGGACGATTGCGCTTACTTCATCGATTTGACGGCTGACAAATCGTTCATGGCCGAGATCAAAGGTATTCAAATGGAAGAGGGCAACAGCAAGAAATTCGTTGCTGAACTGGCTCTGATGACATCAGCCAACAGCAACAACACCATAAGCCAGCTGTTGGTAGGAGAACTACGTGCCAAATACGCATAATCTCTGTCATTGTGCCAAATAGCCGAACGTAAAATTACATACATAAAACGCATACATCGTGAAAAAATCTAACATCCGAATTAGAATTTACATTTAAGAAGCGAAAAATCAAACATACCGTGAACGGTATCTATTTGCAGAGCAAAAGAACATTAAAATTAATTTCATTTTTCCATTGATTCCAACGTAAATTAGTTGAACGATTAAAAAACGATCATTTCAAATTAACAAAAATTAAGTTAAAAAAAACTTTCAAAATAAAATGACTGCGTATAATTCTCATTTTAAAGGTATCATATTTTATTCACATACAATTAAAATGGAATGACAATTTGCAGTAGAATAATTTTTTTTCTGAATTCGAATGATAAAAATAAGCGATTTTCAAGAAAAAAATGAGAAGAAAAAAATTAGAAAATAAAATTCAGAAAAAAATCATTAGGAAAAAAAAATATTTTCTAATGTTTTATCAGCCTTAACACATATTTAGTCAATTAAATAGAAAATTACCATTTTGTTCAAAATAAATTGTCCTATTTGAATAAAGTGTCTGTGATTAAGACTTAATAGCGAATACAAACAATGCATTGATCAAAATGGACCTTACGAAAACAATTTAAAGGCAATAATGGGCAAAAACTTGATAATGGCAAATTAGGGGCTGTGATTGATTTGATGGGTAAAAAAAATGATCTTGTCAGGTCGATTAAAAATAAATATGAAATTATTTGATCGCTGCAAATTGAAATACTTGAAAAAAATTAAAAATTCAACAGACTTTTTTAAAAAGCAACTCAATGAAATGAAATACACCTCTGTCAGACCAGAAAAAACGTACATCCGTGCAAAAATGTACGTGTGACATTTGGAAATAAGTAATTTATTACAAAAATTTTAACGATTTTTCTTCTCTTTTTTTTAATGATCTTCTTTCTTTTTTTTTAAATGATGGAAGCGATGAACCGTCATTGACATCGGACTTTCTTCTTTTACTTATTTGCTGTTGGAATATTTTTAAATTGTGACAAAACCTATTTACAGCTCAATTCTTTCATTTATCGAAAATTGGGACACAGTTGCACAGTGGCATTCATTGATCTAAAAATGAAAACCATTGAATGTGGATTAAAAAGACGTTTTATTTTTATTACTTTTTTATTTTCAATCTTGCACTTTCTTGTTCGATCAAAATTATTTCGCATTAATTTTTTTAAACGCTTTAAAATTTTAATTCAATTCAAAATTCAAAAACACTTGACGTTACCAATGCTATATTTTTGAATGATTCAAAATACAAATGACATTTATTTTGCATTGAATTATTTATGGAGATTGTAAACCATCGAAATGTCGAGAATGGCACATTCAGAAAAATTTCCATTTTTTGAAACATTTCCACTTTCAACTCGATTCGCATTGTACAATTTTTGATGGAAAATAAGCTGATATAAATGTATCGAACCTCGTTTTCTGTTATCGATTCATTTTTGTAAGAATATCCACAGGCTTTCACCATTTATTTATTTCTATATTTTATTTTTATTTTGTTTAAAAATAAATCACCTTCGTTTGCCTCATTTTCAAGTCATAAATACGTGACTTTGCAGATAAAAATAAAAATGGTTGAAAGGTCTTTTGAAGTAAACAGAGGTGACAATTTTTAACTACTTTATCTCAAAAAGTGTACATTTTCTTGGGTACGTGACTTGCGAAAAGGTTCAATTTTGATTTCTCATTTAAAATATTGGTGCAATTGGTATTCATAATCAGTTTGATTTCAAGATTGAAACAATCGACTTGGAGAGTTGTCATGAAGAAGCGAAATCGTCTGTTATAATTTTGTTTTCGACGGCAGTCATTTGGCTGTGAATTGTCACAGTAAGTTGAAACTAATTAGATAGTCGATTTGATCAAAAAAAAATATTCAAAAACAAAAATACTTGAATTGTTCGGTATGTTCCAGTAAAAAAATGCATTTTCAAACATTCACAATCAAATTGGATAGAAAATCTTCAAAAATTAGTATACAATTGTCTGATCGGAAGATATTAGAAAGATTTTATTTATGATACCCTGGAACTTTATAGAATTTGAGACCCAAGAGAAGACCTCGAGCTAAATTCGATTCAATTGGATCCTGATAAAATTCAATGAGCGTACCAGAGTCCAATTGAACACATGGCTTCACTGTTACATCCGTGACGCAATTTTCTGGTACTGTTTCTGGATACGAATGTCTTGGAACATTTCACCATAATTGTCTCGTACCAACTCTTTGGTCGAATCATTATGATCGCTGTTCGCCATGATCCAGATTACGAATGCTTCAAATAGCTCAAACTCGGAACATGACAAATATTTCAACTTCAAAATACTCGCCATCGCTTTGCGATTATACGTTCGGAACGCGTTTGATCTGAACACGGCTTTTGTGTTGAGACCGATGACCGCTTGACACATTTCCTTAAGATCGTCTTGATCGAATAGCATCGCTAATCCGTAGCACCAACAAACATTGTCGAATGCAATGATCTTTTTCAAATATTTCGTGCAGATCGACAAACACTTCTCGACATCGTACTTTTAGCCAAGGCTCATGACTGAGGCAACATTTTCTTGCGTCAGTTTGATACGGCTGAGGTAAAAGAACTGTAAGAACTCCTCGAATGATTCAACCGAAGTGTCGACGATCTTCACTTCGTCTTTTTCTTTCCACTGTCCATTGAACATCGTTTGAAAGACTACGCTAGCGGAACTAAGCAGATTCTTGTGCGCTGGAACACGTTCGGAGCGACCATCAGCCGACTCGAAAACAAAGTAAACGTCGGTAAAATCAGTACTCAAATATAGTTTTTCGCAAATTTTCAACGAAATATCGCTTTCGAAAACATCTACGGGTGGAACATAGATTGACATATTCATCGTGGAAGAGGTTGGACTCGATCTGTGAAAAATAAACCGATAGAAATGAACCATTAAAATTATTTCTTTTTTTGTCTATCCCAAAGATATGATTCTAAAATCTTTTTTATTAATTATTTTCACAGATTTTTTGAAATTATGAAGAAAAACCTTCTTCGCTCCTTACCTCTTAGCAGTCTGATTTAGTTTAGAAACGCAATTGAATTGATCAACCAACATAATTGTGTACAGTTAGTTGAAAGAACGGCACTAAAATCCAAAACCGATTTTCAGTTCGTATAAAATGGAACTAAGATAACAAATAAGCCATTCGAGTGAAATTACGGATTCTTTTTTTGGTTGTTTCGCTAAAAACTAACATTCCTTACTCACTATATAAAGGGGGACAATTGCATTGGTCCAGATTCGTGCAAATTAGTTTTCATTCTTTTTCTTTCTTTCTTCGTCCAAGCTCGACCATTATTAGCAAATATTTTTCGCCAGACTATCCATAATTTTTACCTGGTGTATGCGCATTTCAAATTTTGTTTGGTTTTATCTCAAAAAATAATGCCCGTTCAGAGAATTTTATTGTACATAGTACAAGGTACATGTTCTGCTTGTGAATGATGATTTCAAACGGGAGAAGAAAAAATTGGCTAATCGATGCAAGAACTAATGTGACTTACATTTATGACCAGGAAATATGATGTAAAAAATCTATTTTGGGCGCCTATAATGACTGATTGGCCTAAGTCAGTCTTTAGGCTCAAGCTCACCCTCTCTACTTACGACAATAAAATTTAGCAAATCCGTTGTGGGTTCCTCCTGGAAGACTACTGTTTGAATGACAGAAAAATTTACAATTATCTTACGAGCTCTGCATAACTTTGTTGTAAAAACAATGTGATCTCCTATTGAATCCAAACCAACTTATGCCATGAAGAAAGAAACCTTTTGATGATCCAAAGTGCTCACTTTTTCAGAATCGCTGTAATCAATCCTTCATTCGGGCAAAGTATAGAACGGTACACAGAATATCTCAAAATCACATCAAAATATACAATGGAGTGTGGGGACTCTTTATTTCAATTTAGTTGTTTCCATATTGTTGTGGTTGGATCAAAACACAAATTTCTTGATAAATTAGCAAAAAGAGAGACATTGTAAATTATTAATTGTATCAATGCTTAGTAAGCATTGCTTACTTAGGCTACGATTCGTTTTTTTGTATTCGACTCTGTCGGCACAGTTATATAACTAATATTGATTGTAAATTGAAGTATTTGGTCAATTTTCGAAAGAACCTAATAAACTAAATGTATGTCTTGAAAGCGACAATGAACAATTATTTCGATAAGAATAAAAAAAAGAAATTATTTCCGGAATGTCAATAGTGGAGTTCAGAAGAAGAATGTTACTGCCACAAATACTCGGCGATTGCTTAATTGCTATATCCAGGAAGTTGATGGAATTTCATTCCCACGATGATTCCACATGCCGCATTTGGTTCGGTTTGTATTGTTGGGTCCCGATAAAATTGAATGATGGTACCCCATTCCAACCGAACGTTTGGATGCACCATTGAGCTGGTCACGCAGTTCGGTGGTGGAGTTTGTTTCAGCTGAATTCTGTACAAGAAGCCTGGTTTGACGAGAATCGGTTTTGGCAACACATTCGATGAATATTCTTTGCTCTCCAATACACATAACATTTCCAACAAAACGGTTTCTGGTCCTCCTGCATCAGTCACTTCAGCGATTTTCATGTCAGTTGGCAGGTCACCTGTTTCAAAGTAGCCGTTGTACTGACATACAGACACCAAACTGAAAGCGACTTCTATCAACAAAAGTGGATCGGTTGTTGAAAAGGTGGTGGTTTCGACGTTTTTGATATGGTACGGCCATGTGGTAAAACCACCGCAATGCGCATTCAATGGTTGCTGGTCGTATCGTTGCCTGCGATTCCCATTGAAGATCGTCGACCTGTACTCTCTGACCGTGATCAATTGAACGATGTCGAGATATTCTTCGTTCGAGAATAGCATTTTGTACTTTCCGATGAATGCACCCAAGTCCTCCACTTCGATCGATCCGATGCAAATGTCTTGGAACATATCACCGTATTTACCTCGTACCAACTCTTTGGTCAAATCATTCTGATCACTGTCCACCGAGATCCAGGTTACGAATGCTTCAAATAGCTCCAACTCGGAACACGACAAATATCTCAGCTTCAAAATACTCACCATTAATTTTCGGTCACACGTTCGAAAAGCGTTTGATCTGAACACGGCTTTCGTGTTGATACCGATGAGTGCTTCGCACATTTTCTTCAGGCTTCCTTGGCCGAAGAACATCGCCAATCCATAGCACCAGAAAACGTTGTCAAATGTGATGATGTTCTTCAAGAATCCCTCGCAAATCGACAAACACTTTTCGACATCGTACATTTTGCCAAGGTCACTTTGGCAACATTTTCTTCGGTGAGTTTGACATGGCTAAGGTAGAAGAACTGTAAGAACTCCTTGAATGATTCCACCGAAGTGTCAACGATCTTCACTTCGTCTTTTTCTTTCCACGACCCATTGAACATCGTTCGAAAGACTTCGCTCGCGGTAATCAGAAGAAATTTGTGACCGGGAACACGTTCAGTTTGTTCATCGTCATCGTC